GCGGGAGACGGGACGGCCGCGATCACGGCAGCGGTCTCCGTTTCCATGTCGCGGGAGCTCGATCGCGACTCTCTCGTTTCCACGGCGACGGGCGACGACCCGCCGTCCGACACCGACCCCGACCGCGACCTCCGTCGCTTCGTAGGCGGCGTCGGCGTGCGGGAGCGACGCCTCTTGTCCGACGCGCGCGGCCCCGAACCCAACCTCTGCTGCTGCCCCCGCCGCTCGTCGCCCGACCCCGAGCGGCGCCTCCTGGTGGGCGTGCGCGACCGGTGACGCCGCCCGCGTCGCAGTGTATCCTCCGGCGTCGGCGACCTTGACGTTGACCTCGATGCGACCCGCTTCGCCGCCGGCGACCCCGGCGCCGGCTGCCACGGCGTCGGTGCGATCGTGGCGACGCCTGGAGGCGGAGGCGGGGACGGAGACGGAGACGGGCTCGCGGCGAGGGGTGGCCACGCCCCTCCTCCAGCTTCCTGCAAGCAGAGAACCAATCAGGGGTCAAGGTCAAAGGTCGAGGTCAGCGGCCTTGTGGGTTGTACGGCTGAAAAATCGCGTCGACGCGTGCTGCGCTTGCGACGCGGGATGAGAACGACACGCACATTAACAACTATGAGACTCGAGAGCCGATAGTCGAACAAAAAATCGCGACCGCACCCGCCCTAAACTTTATCACTTGCTTTACCAGTGCAACTGTAAACAAGAATCTTCCTACAACTGCAGGGTGCGAAATTAACGGGAGTCCGGAGTCAAAGACTCCCTGATTTACCGTCGGACTCCCTGATTTGACATATGCAGGAGTCTGTGCGACTCCCTGAAAATTCTGCCATTCTAACTAGTTCGTTCCGGAGCACGGCCTCGTGGAATTTATTATTATTTTATTTTATTATTATTACTGTATTTTTTCAGTAAAAGTCCAAAGGAAATTTGGCAGACGTGCAACCGCATGAATCTTAAAAATAAGCACATGCGTTATTGTTAATATCTTTAATTTTGAACTTCAGAGTTTCAGTTATAATATGGATAAATTTGCCCTAAAATCAATATCGTTCGGTTAAATAGCATTTAGGTATAAATATAATTGCACTTTCGTGATTAGCCCTCGGTCTGTAACGTGCAAAATAAAAATGCAAATACGCAACTTTTTCAGGGTGGCAGCACGGTCGCGGGTGTCATGGCGCCGTTCAAATTTCGTAGCGTTGATGTGTAATTAATTATAACAATTAAATTAGGTATCAGGTAACAAATACGTGTGGGTATAGCCGATTTGTTATACAGTAAGTACAGTTGTATGCAGTAAAATCCTAGAGTTTACTATCCCTTTAAGTATTCTTACCCCACTAAATGTTCTCTGCAAATTCACGCTGATCTTAAAAATTAGTTCAGACGGGCGAAAAAACTCAGACGCGCTACGTTAGAATCGAGCGCCTTGTTTCGGACGTGGACGCACGCAGTTCTTACCCTATTGCCGGCGATAGCTTCCCTCTCACAGCTGATGCTCCTTTCCCTACCCAGGCTGCCTTCTCGCTCTCGGCTGGGGCTCCTCTCTTCAGTTTTGCTACGTGCCTCCTCTCTACTGGAGCTTCTCTCTTTAATAACTCTGGGCTCCCTCTCTCTGCTCGGGTTTCTCCCTTTAATTACTCTAAATTCTATCTCTCTACTGAGGCTTCTCTCTTCAATTTCGCGACGTGCTTTCTCTCCACTAGGGCTCCTCTCTCTGATTACTCTGGGCTCCCTCGCTCTTCTAGGAATGCTCTCTTTACTTTCCTTGCGTTCTGCCTTTTTGCTAAGAATTTTGCTCTTCACACTTGGGTTTTTATTCTTGCTCTTGCTGGTTTTTCTTACTCCCTTAAGGTTTCCCTCGCTGCTACTGCTGCTGCTGCTGCTGCTGCTGCTGCTACTGTTGCTGCTGCTACTGCTGCTGCTGCTGCTGCTGCTGCTGCTGCTACTACTACTACTACTGCTGCTGCTGCTGCTGCTGCTTCTTCTTCTTCTTTTCTTCTTTTTACTCGGATGCTCCTTCAAACTGCTCCTGCTCTCCTTTCGGGGATTGGCCCTGTCACCCTTTCGTTTGCCTTTCATTTCATTTTCGCCATCTGAAATTTCTGAAACAGAGAATCAGCCGACCTCTTAACTGATGATTCGACTCGAACACATGTACATTCCACAGCAAAATCGCGCTGCCTGCCAGCCAGTCATGCATGAGTTATCCACTACCCCATCCTACGCTGCCCCAACCCCATCCACAGACGATGGATCGTGTGCCAACGTTGGACGACTCTTATAGAACGAGATGCAAAAATAAAATAAAAATAAAAGCTGTTGCCACGGCGGTGAAACCTTTGGTACGACGCGCCATGTGACGTCCTCAAACGCGTGCTTTTTGCACAATAACAAAAGACAGTCTTTACCCCCACCAGCACCCTGCACATAATGCGCTGCACACTTGAACATGTTAGGCGTCAAACGAGCCATTTTGCAAAGAGTTTCTCGAGTCGTTAGCAGTTGCGGAAGAAATACATACAGCATGAACGCACGTCTGAGTCAGCGCGCGAAATCGCACCTCTTGCTCTCAACATCGACGCGGAAGCAAGAACAGCAATGACTATGTAATAAGCTTCAATGACGGCATTGTACGCTAGATGTTACTTTACCGCTGTACTACCTTGATGACATCATCGTCCTTGCCATAAACTTGCCAACTAACCTGATCCAGGTTCTAACGACGATGGAAGCAAGTCATGGGCCTTTCACATCCGCGATGTTGTTTTCAGTCTTGAGTTTTATAATGTTATACAAAAAGCAGCGTCATTCTCGGAACTTCACCGTGGGGGGAGCGCGCGTTTTCTCTCTTTCTCTTTATAACGCGCGGCCCTCTTTCGAATGCGACCGGCTTTTTCTAACGATTGCGTAGCACAAACTAACACCGACACCACAAACTGGACAATCACCATACAGCGACGCATCGACACGGACCATTTACACAATCGATTAGTTTGGGGGGAGAGCGCGCTCGCAGAAATTACGCGCGCTCTCCCCCATGTCTCTACAGCAATCGCGCGCTCCTGTAACCCGCACGCAGCGTCTGAACCCGGACTCACCACTTCCCGACTCCTCCTCCTCCTCAGACGTCGACGCCACGTCAACGAGCCGCGACTTCGCTCTCGCTGGATCCCCGCGACGACTCCGCGGCGGCGGTCGCTCATCGGCGGCGCCCCCTGGAGTCTCGTCGACGAAGGAAGAGCTTCCGATGCTGGCCTCGAAGGAAGCCCACTCTGCTTCAAGGTCGAGGGTCGGCCTGCTGGCCACCTGTCAGGTGAGAGAGGAAGATCGTTAACAGGTGTCGCGACGCTCGGCATTGCAGGTGAGATTCTGTTCGAATACCGAGTTTCTGTTATCAAAGTCGTTCGTCGTCGTTCGATCGAGTTCGTCGATCATTACTCGTTTGCTCTGCCGAGTTGATTAATCGAGTAGAAAATCGGACGACCGAGTACAACTCGAATTTATTTTTTTATTTTTTTTATTTCCAGATTTGACACAAGTACGTACATTTACGTGTACCTATACTAGTAAACACGGTGCGATGTAAATTTTCAAGGAACTAAGCGACTTTGTTTCCTGAAAATCAAGCCTAATCCTAAATTTTCCTACATCTTTTCAACTTATTTATTTCCTAAATTAAAGCATTAAAAAAAAATTCCAGGGACCCTTTTTTTGTTCATATTATGAACAACTTATGGTTAAAAGTTTAGGTCCCAACTCTTTGCTGTTTCTGAGAAATAACAAAAAAAGCATTTTTGTATAAATTCACAATTTTTGCCGTCACTTAATTAGCGATGAATTTTTAATAAAAAATTTCCATCGATAGCATAGAGACATCTCTCCTATGTAATGGATATGAGTTTGATTGAATTTGATGAGCAGTTATGTTGCAATGCCCTTTAGAGTGTTAGTACTGTTACTCGTCCGTAACCCTAACAGTATTCTTAATTTACTTACCATTAAATACTAGCTACACATACAATAATGTCAATATTCCTTCGCAATACACCGGTTGTATCGACGATGACGCGGCGTCGCCGCAATCTAAAATGATCGATGATTAATCGATCATCGGTCATTTTGTAAAACCGATGATCGATCATGAAATTTGGACCGATCTCCAACACAATTATTTACTAAGGTACGGATCAAACAAATGGCTTGATTTTACTCACGGATCAAGGCTAAACTAAAGAGTATTTGATGGTTTTTTTAATAATAATTGAGAAATTATAGAATTAAACAGAATGATAATTCTAACATTCGACTACACATATACTACCAAGAGCGTATTAAGAAGGAGAGCGTGCAACGGTGAAATGCTGAAACCATGCTGCAGTATTACTATTAGTCGAATTAATAAACTTTGCCCGTTTTATTTTGACGATTCTTTGCAGTATTATTGATCAGCTGTCCTTCCTACCTTGCTAATTATATAAAACAAACCGCTTGTCCCTACGATGCCCCTACGCTGACTCGAGATAAGTAGTGGCTGCACTTTTCGTAAATAATGAAATGCCCGGCTGATGCATTTCGCATCAAAGAGGAAAATTTTCTGCATTTTCACTCGCTGTCGGAAGTGAACAAGTGCGTCATTCATTGAACAATTCAGCAAAACACAGCACACTGCACGACAGAGGTTGGAATGTTCGGAGCCAATGTTTACATGCCACAGCACCATCTCTTGGATGTTTTATAAGTAAATATGGGGATTTTCAATAAAATAATGCATTTTTAATGTATTTACCACGATTTACGTATAGAAACTATATGTTATTTTTACTGATTTCTCCGTATCTTTCCTTGGAGTTGTCATCGTCTTTCAATGCCTTTCGGTAGATTTTTCTGCGTTTTCTGCGTGATTATTATTTTGCACAGGCACTCATTTTGGAAATCCTCCAAAATTTTTACTTCTTCCTTAGTTAAGGTAGTCCATGTTTCACTGTTATTTAGGAAGGAAGGTAAAACTGTGCATTCGTATAATTTCACTCTTGCTTCTATAGTATGATTTCCATAATTTTGCTCTTCTGCCCATAATAATATTTCCCTCATCATGAACCTACATTTTTCAATTCGGACTCTTATCATATCGTTATAACCTCCTATATCATTAATTAAATCCCCTAGGTATGAATATTTGGTGCATTTTTTGATTACTTGGCTGCCTATTAGTATTAATATCTCCTTCTCTATCCTTTCTTCGTTTGTGAATTTTATAACCATTGTATTTGTTTTGGATTAAATTCTAATCTTTTTGATTCAGCTAATCTGGAGCATGACTGAGCGATTTTTGTTACTGTTTTATAATCTCCAATTCCTAGAATATCGTCCATATATAATCATTGTCATCTTCTAAAACTACAGACCATCCGCTGACCGCTGTGGAGACGTGCGCCGGGCCTCGAATTTGGCGCGCGTCTCCACTGCGGACAGCGCTTCATACTTAAACATCCCCGCGGTCGTGTGCGCCTATCCCGCGGAACTGCGCGTCTCATCCGCGCGCAGCGCTTAGCCTTAGGCTCAACAGCAAAGCTGTGGCACGCAATCTTGTATCATGTCTCTCTGGATAGCATAAACCTTATGGGATTCGAAGGTAATGTTGATGACATCATAAATATACTAGTACTAGCCAATCAAATATGGTGTACGGTAAAATAGCGGAAGTGGATACACTGCTGTATACGGGTAAATATCCACTGCCTATATCCTATTAGTATTACTATATATATATATATACTAATAGACTTAATAGTAATACAAAGGCAGTTGTTTGGGCTGTGAAAAGGTGTGATACAAAACAAGTGTTGTGTAAATTTGGTGCTCATACTTTTCCACCTGCCCCTTCTTTGTGTGAGATTGTGCAGTGGCGTGCCTGCAGTGACATAATGTGTTGCAGAGGAGCATTTGAACAGCCCTTACAAATTACGTGTAATTATGGCTGATAGGGTCTATGTCCTCCAGGGTACTGCCGGAACGTACCCTAGGTGCGGTCTGGTATACCGGAACGTACCCTGGTAACTATCTAATATGCCGGACCGTACCTCGCCTACTCCAAACTCACCGTACCCTGACTTTCAGCCGATGTCGTAATACATACCGCTTGTCGGCAGGAAACGCGCCGCTTTATGCTCCCGTTCCTTGTTTCCGGTCCGTTCCCGCAAAATATTCGTATTCGTAACCCTTACCCTGGTACGTTTCACCTCCCGACCCTTTCTACAAGTGTCAGCGAGTCTATACGTTTCCAACCCATTAAGATAATCATACAAATTTTCCTGTTCCACCACAACACTTGGAGCCATCTTTCCAAAATCTCGCGTGAAAATGCGTGAAAATGTCGTAAACATTGCGAAAGGAAAACGCATTCCCGGGGCGATCATCGCGATATTTGCAAAAGGATTGCGCGCATCAGTGTATATAGGTTGAAATTTCTTCTTGATTTTACAGTTTCATACGCCAATCCAACTTTATAAAGATATCATACAGGTCTCTATGTAGGGACAGTGATTTTCCGTTTCAAAAAATTGCCTTTTCCGTTTTGCGAAATTCATGAATTCCGTTTCAAAGTAAAGAAAAAGTGGAAATTCCGTTTTGCCATAGAGATTGAACACACCAAAAATGCAAAATTCCGATTACATATATTTGCATGACAAAAAGGTATTTGGTCACTGACTGACAGTTGGGTTGGCAGTTGGCACCGAAACACACAGCTACCAAGACGTAATTGTAAGTCATTTCGCTCTGAAACTTGTTTGAATGTAAACCATATCACTACCATTACCAATGCTATTGTCAACGGGTTTTTTAATTATTTTATTGAAATTTCCATGTTGCAATATGTTCAAATTACGTTTTCCGCATTTTTCCGTTTGAAAACATCTTTTCCGTTTCCAATTTCCATTTCCGTGTTTTCCGTCCGTTTTCCGCGATCGCGGAAAAATCACTGTCCCCATGTATGTATATTTCAAATTTTGCGACATCAGTAGCACTTGGACGGAACAGCAACAGGGACAGTCAGGGTACGGTAGGGAGTAAGCGAGGTACAGTCCGGCATATCAGATAGTTACCAGGGTACGTTCCGGTATACCGGACCGTACCCAGGGTACGTTCTGGAAGTACCCTGGGGGATATAGACCCTATCAGCGTATTTATGCGATAGCGATTACACACAAAGAGACAAACTGAAACTTTGGTAGTAGCGCAGAGCCGTACGCAGAAGGGGGGCAGCAGGGGAAGTTGCCCCCCCTGGAGATTTTCAGAGTATGCCTTTTAATGGGACAAATACTGTACACTTTTAGAAATAAAATAGAAATGTGACAGAAGGTTATCTTAAATCATCAAAGAAATATTACACTTTAAATAAAGAAATGTGATATGGCGAAACGTTAGGGCACAGGGTCAGGGGGCATGGAGAGTACATTTGCCCCCCTACAGTAGTACAGAAAATTTCCTGCGTACGGCCTTGGTACTAGTACTAGTAGGCCTACATTAACAGAATTTCTGTTTATTCACCATCACCTTATTATTGAAACGGCCCTAGTGGTAGTGGTTGTGTAGCCAACGATGCTACATCTTTGCCACTCAATGCGAAGGCCGATTGTTTTTGATGGTGACGTCGCAGTTCGTGCAAGACCACCATTTCCATAATTTGTCATTGTACTATTTCCATCGGTGGATCACGATATTTCACCATGCCATTTTGGTTGTTGAACAAGCACATATCATTTAAATCTTTATCATGTATTAACGCCCATAGTCTATTTAATACCAAAGCAATATTAATAAGTCATTACCTTGCTAGCAACTGATGATATGTGGCGGTTTTCTTCATCGTGATCACGCTTACTGCGATGTTCTCTGCCTTCCATCTTTGATTTTGTCGGGGCCAAACTACGCAGTACGCATGCGTCAATACTATAGGTGGCGAAACCGAAACTGTAGCGTGCCGATAGCAAGCCGATAGCAGCACTTGAACTGCACATGTAAATGTTTACAATGTTTACATCATATTCTGAGTGGTTGTGAGTCATAATCCTGGATAAGCTATAGCCAAAGTCGAGTTCGATGCACCCGTGGACACAATAATGCTGAAGGTAAATCGGTGTTGTGGTGTGCTTCATTCAACGTTACACAATTCTTCACGTACTTCATTCAACGTTCTACAGCAGCATGCATTTTTAGCCAGCTGATCCTGCGTGAACGGGTTTTCCTGTGTTTTTTATCACGAAGAAAACATTCATCCTATCCCATCCCAGTCACTTATCAGCATTAGTAATATTCCGCCACATTACTATGAACTTATAACTGTAACTTGCGTTTTTCCTATTTTTAACCACACCTTTCATGCTGACTTTCATCGGTCCGTGCTCCACCTCCGTCCCAACTCCGTTCCTCGGTCCGTAATAACTATGACTCATGAGTATGAGGCATATATAACCACGCCCAACACCCCGGCGCTGATCATACTGACATTTATATACTCAATATAGATAATAACAGTGACGATGCAAACCTATGTTACGATCCCGGACTTTAATTATTTTGCATGGGATTAAGTTAGGATTATGGCTAGGTAATGGGTATAGCCATAGGACCGGTGATGTGACGTTGATTATAATTCATGTACGAGCCCCTCAAAATCATGAGGTTTTAGCCCGTCTAGCTAGTACTAGTAGTGCTCATAGGGTCTATGTCCCCCAGGGTACTGCCGGGGTACTGGTATACCGGAACGTACCCTGGTAACTATCTGATATGGTTAGGGTTAGGGTTAGGGAGTAGGCGTAGGCGACTCCCTAGACCCGTTAGTGGAGTAGGTGAGGTACGTACAGTCCGGCATATTAGATAGTACCACTACCAGGGGAAGTTCCGGTATACCGGACCGTACCCAGGGTACGTTCCGGGAGTACCCTGGAGGACATAGACCCTCTCAGCACTAGTAGTAGTACCATCCCTCTCGTTTTTAGCTCACCTTGACATATCGTCAAGCTGAGCTATTGCCATGGGTCGTCGTCCGTCGTACGTCCGTCCGTCCATCCGTCCGTCCATCCGTCCTTCCGTCCTTCCGTCCGTCAACATTTGGCTACGGTCAACGATAACTCAGGAACCGTTTGACCCACATGTTTGAAATTGGGTATAGTTGTTACTGCTATGCTCCCATATTAAACGTCCTATTTTGGAGCACGCCAGTCAACGTACTTTCGAGCCATGGCAATTTTTTGGCGAAAATGGGAATTGCCATTAGTCAGTTCAGGTTCAACGGATTTTGCTCATTTTTGGTATGTGACTGAATAAGGGCTAGGGGTTTTGATATTTAAAAAAAAATTATGCAAATTAGGTAGGGTTTGCAATCATATAGCATATTAATATAGACACGCAGATAACAAACAGTCTGTGGTGTCACACTCGTCTGGTTCGTTTTACAAGATTTCATTGACGATATCTTTAATAGAAAATTCCTGCTATGAACATATTATGATTTATACTATTATTATTATGATATAAGGATTTATGCTAAGAAACATCAAAGTGGGTATAGATCTACCGTCACAAATTGTGATTTATTTTGGTTTATAAATTATTTATAATTTATATATAATATTATTTATTATTTTCACATAAAAAATTACACATATATAATTATCAAGAGTATATAATGGAGTTCTCCCATTTAATACTCTTCGTTTCTATAATGTACGCATGGTTGCTCAATTAAAACTGACTTCTTCTCACTCAACTCATTCTGTGTCCTTTTTTGTGGTGAGCTACAGTGTCATTGACACTTTCATTTAATTTGCTGAGTTAGTTTCTCACATGTGCACGCACATGCACGCATTGCACACAGTCATTTACCCTTCTGCACCCGCATGCACGCACGCACGCACGCACGCACGCACACACGGCACACCACACACACACAGTCACAACACACACACATGCACACACACACACACACACAACACACACACACACACACACACACACACCACACACACACACACACACACACACACCACAACACACACAACACACAACACACACACAGACCACACACACACACACACACACACACACACACACACACACACACACACACACACACACACACACACACACAAACACACATAATAGTATATAGATAGATACTTATCTGTAATATAATAATATAATATATAAGTATATATAAACCGTTTGTCTTCCATTAACTTACTCCTGATATTATCATGTAGCGAGCACCCCTCTCGTATTTCATATAGGAAGGTGTATTCAACGTAATGAGAAACGGCCATGCATTCTGCGAAGTTAGTCTATATATTGACGTCGTTAGTCGTGCAGCCTGCATATGGTGTCCCTATGTCCTAGTTATCACCCCTACACTTATATTATACCACCACACACATTGAAACTACACCTGCCACTTATATTTTATAGCCACCTCTTCTTGTATGTATGGCTTTAGCCTGACATAGGCTATATGATGGTTTCATGCACCCCACTTGGTTTTTACTTCTGCACGTACGCCACATTGTGAGAACGATATATAGCAGGCCGCGTAGCCAGCTTGTATTGGGGGGGGTGTGGCGTTTTTCAATGTTGGCAATTAGCTCGGCAGCGGGCGTGTAACAGGATTTGTACCAGGGGGGGGTCTAACCGTAACCCGAAGTTTGCGAGCACGCGACAGGGGGGTCTGGGGTTTTTTAAATTACACCCCCTCAGATTGCTGTTTCTGCTCGAGCAAGGTGGGGCCGGACTCCCTGGACCGGGCCCCCCCTGTACACGCCCCTGCTCCGGCGCGAAGCCGACCAGGCGAGGGAGACAAGCGACCGAGCGGGGGGAGGTGCGCGGAGGGTGTCACTGTTTCACGCTCCCGCACGATGGAGATTTTGCAATTATTACACTAAAATCAGACGCGACCTGAGGTGAAATTCTTGCAAATTTAAAAAAAAAAATTTTTTTGCTTGCTGGGCCGGGGGGGGTTCGTTCGAACCCCCGAACCCCCCCTGGCTACGGGCCTGTATAGTATACCCTGTGCAAATAGCCACAAATTTATAAGCACACGTTCTGTACTGAACTGTCTGCTTATAAAATATCTAATGCGTTCAGCCAAAAAAAAAGGTGTGTTTCCTATTGCATCGAAAACAAAGTAGAGGTAGGTACTAGGTAGGTAGGGATTTTCTTTTTATATATTTTTTACAATTCTACAAGCGTGTTTGCAGCGTGAGAAACAAGCGGTCGCCCAGTCGCCAGTGGCCATTAGAAAATTCGACCGGGCGACTGCTTGCTCCGTGTCAGCTGGTCCGGCGGCGGCGACTACATAATCGCCTGCTACAGAAATAAAAATTACAAACTGAGGCCATAATAAAAATGTGTTTGTTTGCCCTCACCGACCGACCCGCCAAAACCGGCGCCGACACAAACATTTAGTATTGACCTTTCCGAATTTTTTTTGTTTAAGTTTCCGTAGCGTGGCAGGCCTGCGGCAACCTGTACACGGGCTATATACTAGAGCTAATGCACAGCCTGTGTACGTGCCTGTTGGCTGGGCGGCACCGATGACAGTTAGGGGGAGGCCGCGAGTGCGATTATGATTGCTTTCCACTTTCAGTTTCAGCCTGCGTGCCAGGTGCATGTTCGATACTACATATGAGTATGGGGTCGCCGCTGCGGGCACCGCTGGTGTCGTTGTTTGAGAGCGCAACAGCAAAACTTTCCTGAATCGCTGCGATTCCAAAACTTGGACAGCAAAACTTTTGCTGGAATCCTGGAAATCGCCCCTATATTATAAATTTAGATATTAAATAAAGCTTAATTAATGGATCATAAAACTCTGACAGGATTACTTCTATTTTCTTTCCAAGACTAATATGCTTGCCTAAGAAGAATTTATTATTCTTAATCAAAGTTCCTTTTATTTGTAATGCTTTAATTTCCACATTACGTGACTTATGTGTGCATGCTGTGCTGCGTTGTGTGATCTGGAAATAAAACTCATGCCACAGATGTAGCGCTGATAAACACAAGTTTGTAAAAGTAATTTTATATGTATATGTATCACTGATACAATGTATATTATATAAATGTGTAGCAAACATAAAAGGTATCTCCACACAAAGTCACACACTGAGCACGTAGACCACCATTGCTGAATTGATAGAAAAGACCCCCCTCAAAAAAAAGCAACCAAACTTTTCAGCTGGGTCGCGGGTGAGGGCAAACAAAAAATTGTTTAATTGTGGCCTGATTATTTTGTTATTCTCTACTAACCTTCTACATTATTCTAATGAAAATCAATGGTAAATTTCATCAAATATAGACTCAAAATAGTCAAGAATTCCAGAAGCCTAAAGTTCATGCGAAATACAACAAACTTCTCCAGTGTTTGTTGTGTTCGATTTTCTAGGTCATGACTGTTAAACCTTCTGCTAATTCGATAATACTGGGCCATCCCCGGGGGGCCCCACCCCACATCACGATCGGCGCTTAATTAAATATGCATAATTGTATAGGAATAATGGGCGGTCTTCAGCCGAGACCCCAGGCTCATTCCGTGTTGAGTTGTTTGATCGTTGGATTTTTGCCACATCTTTCCCAGTTGATTTGTTGGATTTGTTGCAGACCTTGATCTTATGGACTTGTTCCGAAGTTTACTACGCCGATCAGTGTATTCAGAACTTGTCCACTAAAAAATCCATAATCTTTTAAGGAATCACCTCCATAGAAGTGCACCATCCACAATCCTAGCACCATCCCCCCCCCAGATAAAAACGTCCCACATGCGAGTCATTGCCCTTCCTTGCTATGAACCACCGAAATCCTGCGACCAGGCCCCTCAACTGACCAGGACAGTACTCCTCAGACGTACTGGCCTGCTGACCCAGTGCCTCCAATTATCAGTTTTTCACCCTGTTTGCTAATTCGACATTTACAGTATAAATAGGATCCTCGTTTGTATTCTGATTTTAATATGGAATAGATATGATACCGTGCCTGCTTTAACTCCTAATACCATGCAATATAATTACATATTTTGCTTTATTTTGGCTGAAGGGGTCGTGTCGTATCAGGTACTACAGATAGGTACCCGACGGTACATATATCGTATACAACAAGTGTACCAGGACTTATACACCAGAATGTACCCGAACCCTAAACCCTTAACCCTAACCTAACATACCTCATATAAAAATATAAAAATAATAAAACTAAACAACCCTAAAAAACTACCTCGGTACATATCTGTGAGTACCTGATACGACCACGACCCCATCTGCTTATTTTGCTGTCAAGCTTCAAACAATCGACGCGACGGAAACGTTTAATCCAGCGAGTGTCCAAGCTTTCAGATCCATTAACAGAAGATCGATCACCACATTGCGCCCCCCCCCTGTCGTCAAC